ATTTTGAGTCTACTCTGTTAGCAAAACAGATAAATCTGGTTAGTTTTTCTTGCATGTCTTTTTAAATTCAGGCCAGTAGAGTTAAGTCGTCTGCAAAAACTAGGTCCTCTAGGCTAGTTGTTAGTGTCCACCGGGTGGTATGCGTCATCATCCAATCGATTACTAGTTAGGGCCACAACACATCCTTTTTTTGATTCTTGTCTGTGTCATACATTATTGTCTGTTATCGTCTTTATGTAAAATCATCAAAACAAGTTGTTAGATTATTTATTTATTTATCATACTTTTATGTCAATTATTTTATTGAAATTACTTTAATGAACATCACTTTTGATGGTGGTGCATAAAAGTGCATTAAGCTAATAAAAACCTGTCTGCAGAAGAGCACTCAAACTACGAGACCCGCGTCCTTACAGCACACCACTTTCATGCCACCCTACCCTAACACCATTTGGATGTAATTATGTCTTAATGATTTCTGTAATTAGTGTAAGCTTTTTAAATTTAGTTCACAATGTCGATCTGACCTCCTACAATTTTGACCTACTTCTAATGCAGTGATTCCTTTTCCAGAAACATTCGTCTCCAAAGACAATTAAAAAAAATTTAATAAAAAAAAATTAATCTAGTTTAGTTATTACAAATAAATGAAAGGGGAGATAACTAGTGTACCATAAGAGCTGTTGGTTACGGATGGTTAGTTTTACGCCTGAAAGCTGACCCCAGTGTTTCTTCCAGACTTTTTTCTCCGGGGGGGCACTTGAAATCTTCGGGGGGGGCGGTAAACTTTCTTCGGGGGGGCGGACACTGTTAAAAGTATATATTTTCTATATAAATGATACAAATTTCATTTCGTTCGGGGGGGGGGGGGGGCGGTAAAAAATTTTCGGGGGGGCTTTGCCCCCCCCGAAGAGATGCCTGGAAGAAACTCTGGCTGACCCGAACATGAAAAAGGGGCAGATAATTGTCCGCGAGGGTTCAAATAGCAAGATACTGATAAGGTTTTAAAGCAAATTTTTGTCGTATGTTATGTAGGTTTCATAATAAATAACGAACGGAATGCAAATGAAATACTATTTATTACCACAAAAAATTAATTTAAAAAATTCCACTTTATACAAACAACATTTTAATGCACTGGAAATTAAAAATAAGTACAGCAAACTTACACTCTTTAGTACATTCTTTGGCCGTTCATGAAATCTCTTACACATTTTAGCGACCAAGCTTTCAATAAAGAAATCAAGTTAGTTTTATGTTTAAAATACTTTTCAGTACAATTTTTTTATAAAGGTTTTAAAAAAATATTTGTTTTATAAAATTTCCAAGTTAAAATAAACGACAAAAACTTAATATTGTTTATAGAGAAAAAAAACTTACTTGTTCATTAATAATAATGATGATTATTACATTTAAACACATTAAAATTAGAATAACATTAGAGACCAACACGAACTTTAGCACCTGAACTGAATTCCCTGGTCTTTTGGTAACGGGAAATAACTTGTAAACTTGCGCTCTAATCTTGAATTTTTTTATTGTCGACTGTGAATAATACTTGAAATCACATTAATTTTACAAACTAAAAGTTTTTTAAGGTAACTAAAATAGGGCTAATACTACACATGTTCAATTATGATTTTCTTTAGATACAAACAATAAAAACTGCCAACCATTTGAGATTACGAAGGCAGAGTTATTTATATACATAAGAGATTATATTAAATCACTTTCTTGAAAAAGGTTTTCATGAAGAGTACTCAATCATCAATGGTCTCTCTCTGTTTCTATATATAATATACATGGATGTGCCCTGTCTGTCAATACTAATTGTTGACGGCTACCATAACCTATGGCCTATCTATCTCCATCTTCTATTCCGAATGTCTTGCTCCACTGGGATTGTCCTCTCTCACTCTGCTGTGTTGTGTACTTATAGGAAGAGGTACACATGCGCAATGTTGTTTAATTCAAATACATCTTCATAATGGAGCCACCAGATTCAGTCGAGATTTACTATTGGAAATACACATAATTCTGTAGGTAATATTAAAAAATAAAAGTTGAAGAATCTTAAACTTTATTATTTCATAACTGAAACCAGAAACTCAAATCTAAACAATCCTACTGGGATTTGGAATATAATATTGTCTCAAAAGAAAAGCTCAAAGCATAATCTACTCAAAATCTGAAATTATCAAAATCCCACCAAAATTGATTTTTTAAAAAGATGCCAGACCTCATCAATCCTGCTTTTGACGTTATTTTAGGTAAAGGGGGCTGGGGTGGTGTGGGCTGGGGTTGTTTGTGTGTGTGTGGGAGGGGGGGAGTTGGGTGGTGTGGGCTGGGTCATGTGGGGGGGGGGCTAGGGTGGTGTGGGCTGGGGTTGTGTGTGTGTGGGGGGGGGGGTTGGGTGGTGTGGGCTGGGTTTTGTGGGGGTTAGGTGGTGGGGGCTGGGGTTGTGTGTGTGTGGGGGGGGGGGTTGAGTGGTGTGGGCTGGGTCTTGTGGTGGGGCTGGGGTGGTGTGGGCTGGGGTTTGTGAGGGTTAGGAGGTGTGGGCTGGGATGGGTTGGTCTGGGCTGGGTTTTGTGGGGGTTGGGTAGTGTTGGCTGGGGTTGCGGGGTTTGCGTGGTGTGTGCTGGGTTGTGGGGGTTGGGTAGTGTGGGCTGGGATGGTGTGGGTTGGAGTTGTGGGGGTTGGGATGTGAGTGTAAAGTAGTGGCTTGAGGTAAGATGATAGGTTGGCGAGAGGATGGCGTGAAGTGGGAGGATAGAAGAAGTAAATCTTGAGGAGGAGTGAGGACTTGGTTGATGAGGAGGTGGAGACTTCACCGTTTTCGACCTCTTTTATTCGTACTTTCCTTTTTCATGCTGTTGCCTTTAATCTTCCTTTTATTTTACCTTACTCGTATTTATCAACAGACATTCATTTAACATATCCTTACAATACTTCTATACTGTTTCACGTTTACACAGACCTATAAACCTATCACAGGGAGGGCATGGTTGGACGGTAGAGCTTTCAAGTGCTAACACGAAAGTCTTGGGTTCGGATCATGGGCTTGAGTTCATAGAACGTCCACGTTAGGGAATCAATAGTATCCCTTGCAGAGCCCCCCCCCCCCTCGAAGAAAGTCTACCGCCCCCCCCCCCCTCTTTCGAACGAAATGGAATTTACATAGAAAACATATACTTTTACCAGTGTCCACCCCTCCCCGGAAAATGTCCCCCCCCCCCCGGAAAATTTCAAGTGCCCCCCCCCCCCACCCGTAGAAAAAAGTCTGGAAGAAACACTGATCCCTTGTATGTCGAAGTCGTTGATGCTTACCTTATTACACACACCATATTGTGGGTATTCATAGGTCTAAGCACCCAGGTCCTCTTTAATAATTATTATCCACATTATTTGTTTTTACTTTCTCGTATACAAAGTAGGCCTATAGAGAAAGTATTGTAATCGTGCAAAAAAAAAAAATCGAGATTTTTGCAAATCTCGACGTTTTACACCTCCTTGAGTCCGTATGTGTGTGTGTGTGTGTGTGTGTGTGTGTGTGTGTGTGTAAACACGATAAATTGGGTACCCTTACAGCTAGGTTGATGAAATTTCATACATAAGTATAATATCAAATTTGTAGTTTTGTATTAATTTTTCAGCGATTTCCGGTAACCGGAGGTGGAACTTATTCTACTTTCAATCTTTCAAAGCCTATAACTTGAGTAATGTTTCAGATAGATGAAGGAAATTTCACATATAAGTAAAGGATCTACTTTTCTGCCTTCTTTCAAATTTTGAGTAATTTCCGTTGACTGAAAGTAGTAATTTACGTTATTTGCGATTTCTAAAAAAAAACGCATGTGAATTTATAAAGTACTAATAATATTGCGCGACTACTATACACATATTGCTTGAAGTTCACTTGGTGCACAAGTATTCTGCGAGATTCTATTCTAGTTTTAAGTAATCACAAATGGATTTAAATATTGTCTTATCACGTGTTGACAACCCCTGAAGTGTTATTCAAGAGTATTAGAGAAAGTTTAGGGGAGATAATTCCCGTTTTTTTTTACTTACTATATCGAATAATGTTCACAGTTACTTGAATATACTGTGAGCAACGTCGACATGTCTTATTTTGTGAACAGTAGTTATTGTATTAAGGTGTTATCTAATTACTTATAATGATTATGTTTGTAATTTTAATTATTTCTAAGAATTCTATTAATAAACAAACATTTAAATAAACAAATTGCAATATTCCAATGTTTAAAAAATTGGAGTAGAAGCATATCATTATAATACAGTATTTAAAACATAAAGCTGTGTGATATTGACGGATTATCTCCCTTGTGTCAACGTCAAAGGTTACCTCCCCTGATCAATCCGAGTCCCTTGTTACGGAAATGTCAAACTTTCTTAACTCCCCCTCCTACACGTACACGGCTAACCTTTCTCCACCGTCAGCCCCGCGGTGCCTATATTGGTGGGTGGTAGGGCGGGAGACGACAGGAAAAGAACATCTAGATAAAGTTTGGGGGAAGGAAAGGAAGGGGTGTGCTAGGTCAGGGGTCGGCAACCTTTTGAAGCGGAAGAGCCAAAAGTTACAATTTTCAATATTTCACTGGTTTTAAAGAGCCACTAACATTTTTTAAAATTTCAAATATGTTATTTTTTTTTATTAAGATTATTAGTATTTGTTCAAGGAGCTGGAGAGCCGCATCTTGATATCAAAAGAGCCGCATGCGGCTCGCGAGCCGCAGGTTGCCGACCCCTGTGCTAGGTCCTTTCTCTATCCCTAGGCTTGAGTTAGTCTTGTTTTTAACCGATAATATAATCAGATATTAAAAAAAAAAAAAAAAAAAAAAAAAAAAAAAAAAAAAAAAAAAAAAAAACAAACTTAAATAAAATTGAATCATTTTGTTGTTGTAAATATTGTAAATAAAAAGGTCAAAAATATTTTTTATATATTGTAAAAAAAATAAATCAACAACCAACAAAGTTATTAACTTTTATTTTTCTGTTTATTTATTCAAGTAGTCCCGGCTCAAACGTTGGGACAGATGCCTCCGCCATGGCGCTCTAGGGTCGGTCTCGCTTATCAATCAGCAGGTCGTGCCAGGTTCCAAAGGGAGTGACTGCCGGAGAACTACCGCCTGGAAGTAGAAACAAGTATTCAGAGAATCAGTTTGTGTCTAAATAGATTAGCTTTAAATAACCGTCTTAACACTGACAGAACCTGTTCCAGCACCTGACCCCTTTGATGCCACCCGATACAGACCATCCTACATGGAGATAAACTTCTCTTCTAGCTGTTGCGTCTGAAGCGTAACGCCAGTGTTGTCTATGGTGCGTGCCGCCCAAGGAATCGACTGGATATTGTGCGTGCCGCCCAATGAATCTACCTACTATGGTGCATGCCACCCAAGGAATCTACCTACTATGATGCGTGCCGCCCAAGGAATCTACCTACTATGGTGCGAGCCACCCAAGGAATCTACCTACTATGGTGCGTGCCACCCAAGGAATCTACCCACTATGGTGCGAGCCGCCCAAGGATTCTACCCACTATGGATTTAACCGTACTCCTGTCACCCGGCCTTGAAGCGAACATATAGAGAAATACCAACCTATTGTTTATAAAAAAAATATCAGAACACTATTAGGAGTATTAGAGCAACGATCCAGGGGCACCACCGAGATTTACCTGGGGGGGGGGGGGGGATGGGATTTTTCTTGGGGGCTCACCATTATTTTATCTGGGGGCCCATCGGGATTTTCCCCGGTAGACCAGTGAGACACATACCCCTAAACCTTGCACCTAATCTCAAACATGACACAAGTCTCCATCCCCTTCACACGTAGACTTTATAGGCAGGCTTTAATGTAGAAAAATTGCAGTATGAAAATTTCGATTCCACTTGGGGGTCCCTTTTTAAATTTCCCGGGGCCTCTTGGACACATCCACCCCTGGCTCTGTTCTTCTACAGCTGTTTTACTGTCCGGTGTAGTGGGGCCCCGGGGTCACAGCGAGCTATTTCCGACTATCACGTTGTTTCGCTTTGACTATGACTTTGTTTCTTTACGGCTACCGTGTTGTTTTTTCCCACGATAACGTTGTATTTTTTAGACGATCACATTGTTTTTTCCGGCGATCACGTTGTATTTTTCTGACGGTCACGTTGTATTTTCCGGCTACCACGTTGAATTTTTCCGGCTATCACGTTGTATTTTTCCGGCTATCACGTTGTTTCAATCGGACGATCACGGTGTATTTTTCCGGCTACCACGTTGTATTTTTCCGGCTATCACGTTGTATTTTTCCGGCTATCACGCTATCACGTTGTATTTTTCCGGCTATCACGTTGTATTTTTCCGGCTATCACGTTGTATTTTTCCTATCACGTTGTATTTTCCGGCTACCACGTTGTATTTTCCGGCTACCACATCGTATTTTCCGACCACCACGTTGTATTTTTCCGGCTATCACGTTGCATTTTTCCGGCTATCACGTTGTATTTTTCCGGCTACCACGTTGTATTTTTCCGGCTATCACGTTGTATTTTTCCGGCTATCACGCTATCACGTTGTATTTTTCCGGCTATCACGTTGTATTTTTCCGGCTATCACGTTGTATTTTTCCTATCACGTTGTATTTTCCGGCTACCACGTTGTATTTTTCCGGCTATCACGCTATCACGTTGTATTTTTCCGGCTATCACGTTGCATTTTTCCGGCTATCACGTTGTATTTTTCCGGCTATCACGTTGAATTTACCCGGTTATCTCGATGAAATATTTTAAAAGCTACCCACGTCATACACTCCCATCTAATTTATATATATTTTTTTATTCCGTTGAACTCCATGACACTAAATAAAAAGCTTTATTTGCGTTTCCATTATGTAAGTTCAATTTAATACCTTTCTCTATAGACGAATTGTATACTTTTTTTTCTGCCTCGCCCACCATCAGTTTTTTTTTTCCAAGAAATTTGTGTACATTCATACAACTTCAACACGCATATAAATTCTGCCTCTCCCACCATCCATTTTTCCAAGAAATTATTGTACATTCGTACAACATCAACACTATCATAAAATAGCCAGGAACGCAAATATGTGTGAGCTAAGATATTTTGCTGGGTAAAACTTAGTTATAGTAAAAACAAGTTGCAATATCATCGTGGTGAAAGGAAGGATCTACAAGGGGTTACAGGAGTATAATGCAGTTTGGTTGAACGTTTGGGGTAAAAGCGCTGGAATAATTTTATTTTTAGTTAGGTCTCAGTGTCCGTTTATGTGTGTGTGGATGGATGTATCTGTGTGTGTGTGTGTGTGTGTGTTTGTGTGTGTGTGTGTGTGTGTGTGGAAAGTTGGGTGTTTAAAGACCGTGTGTGGGTGGGTGTGTCAGTTTGTGGTTAAATCTTCAAATTGTTTTTTTCAAAATTTGGATACACTCTCAACTACAATGAAAACTAATTTACATCTAAAAACAATTATATCAGAGCCTCGTTATGGGCAGGTGCGCGGATCTTTGACCACAGGTGCTTTGACCATAGGGGGTTTGACCACAGCGGAGCTTTGACCATAGGGTCAAAGCACCTAGGACCTTATGGGCAATATTTTTTAATGGTTGGCCTACGGTGTGTTTTCTTACGTAGCCAATCGGATGTAAATTAAAAAAAAATGAACGCAATCAATTCTGACCCCGTATTCGTTGAACATGTAGGCCTACGAACATGTTGAATAAATTTTACCGAGTAATGATTTCATTAAAGAAAGAAACATTCATTTTTTTCTCTTACGCATTTAAATTGTTGATTTTTAAAAGGTTTTTATAAGTTAAAAAAAATTAATAATAATTTTGTAATTTTAGCTTTCTTTTTAATTTAGGATATTTTTGACTATTTTCTTCATTTGAATGAGATATTAGTGATATTAATGAGATATTATTGAGATATTAGTGAGATATTAGTGAGATATTTAGTTAGTAGGTACATTCGCTCACAACCTCATTTAGCTTAGAAATGCCACCCCCCCCCTTCCTCTTTCATTTCTCAGTAGCCAGCCTACTCTAACATATCATCAGATCACATACTCCTCCCTCACCCTACCCCCAAACCTCATAATCATTTCTCCATCTATCTCTATAAATTATCAACTCCCCTCAAAACAACACGCATCGAATCCGCAGTCACCCACACCTCATCCCTCACCAACTACCGCCTTCAACTCTCACAACCTCCCCACCCTTACACCTCAACCATCACCTCCCCCACCCCCACCCTCATACCTCCATTCTCACCACCTCCACCCTCATACCGCCAACATCACCTCCCCCCACCCTCATACCTATTACCTCACCTCCCCCACCACCATCCCTCATACCTCCAACATCACCACCTCACCCCACCCTCATACCTCCACCATCACCTCCCCCACCACACCCTCATACCTCCACCATCACCTCCCCCACCACACCCTCATACCTCCACCATCACCTCCCCCACCCCACCCTCATACCTCCACCATCACCTCCCCCACCTTCAGCTCCCCACCCTCACCTCCCCCACCCCACCCTCATACCTCCACCATCACCTCCCCCACCCCACCCTCATACCTCCACCATCACCTCCCCCACCTTCAGCTTCCCACCCTCACCTCCCCCACCCCACCCTCATACCTCCACCATCACCTCCCCCACCCCACCCCCCCCTCAAACCTCCAACATCACCTCCCCCACCACACCCCCATACCTCCACCATCACCTCCCCCACCACACCCTCACACCTCCACCATCACCTCCCCCACCCCACCCCACCTCCATACCTCCACCATCGCCTCCCCCACCACACCCCCATACCTCCACCATCACCTCCCCCACCACACCCCCATACCTCCACCATCACCTCCCCCACCACACCCTCACACCTCCACCATCACCTCCCCCACCCCACCCCACCTCCATACCTCCACCATCGCCTCCCCCACCACACCCCCATACCTCCACCATCACCTCCCCCACCTCACCCTCACACCTCCACCATCACCTCCCCCACCCCACCCCACCTCCATACCTCCACCATCGCCTCCCCCACCACACCCCCATACCTCCACCATCACCTCCCCCACCCCACCCTCATACCTCCACCATCACCTCCCCCACCACACCCTCATACCTCCACCATCACCTCCCCCACCACACCCTCATACCTCCACCATCACCTCCCCCACCCCACCCCACCCTCATACCTCCACCATCAACTCCCCCACCACACCCTTACACCTCCACCATTACCTCCCCCACCCCACCCTCTTACCTCCACCATCACCTCCCCCACCACACCCTCATACCTCCACCATCACCTCCCCCACCACACCCTCATACCTCCACCATCACCTCCCCCACCACACCCTCATACCTCCACCATCACCTCCCCCACCACACCCTCATACCTCCACCATCACCTCCCCCACCACACCCTTACACCTCCACCATTACCTCCCCCACCACACCCTCATACCTCCACCATCACCTCCCCCACCACACCCTCATACCTCCACCATCACCTCCCCCACCACACCCTCATACCTCCACCATCACCTCCCCCACCACACCCTTACACCTCCACCATCACCTCCCCCACCACACCCTCATACCTCCACCATCACCTCCCCCACCACACCCTCATACCTCCACCATCACCTCCCCCACCACACCCTTACACCTCCACCATCACCTCCCCACCACACCCTCATACCTCCACCATCACCTCCCCCACCACACCCTCATACCTCCACCATCATCTCCCCCACGACACCCTCATACCTCCACCATCACCTCCCCCACCACACCTTCATACCTCCACCCTCTCCTCCCCCACCCCACCCCCATACCTCCACCATCACCTCCCCCACCTTCAGCTCCCCACCCTCACCTCACCCACCCTCCAGCCCCAGTCATCCAAGTCTATACTTAATGATCGAGACGACCAAGTGCAGACAATGAAAATAATTGCGGATATAAAACACTCTCCGCGGGGCATGCGCACAATTTTCAGACAACAACCACAGTATTCTAACAACGGACATCCGACGCCAGCACCACACTTTTCTAATTGACGACATCAGCACCACACTGTTGTAATTGACGCA